GATGATCTTCCCTTCATGTGCATGTGCTTTTTCATTTAGTCCTAGCATCTCCTTGTCATGTTCCTACTTGGTGTAATGTTCCGGATGATCTTCCCCTCATGTGCATGTGCTTTTCATTAGTCTAGCATCTCTTTGTCTTGTTCATACTTGGTGTAATATTCTGGATGATCTTCCCTTCATGTGCATGTGCTTCCATTAGTCTAGCCTCTCTTTGTCAAGTTCATGTTCCGGATTTCTACTTGATTGGTCTCTTCTCCTTGTGCATGCGCTTCCACTAGTCTAATCTTTCATTGTCAAGTTCGTGTTCCGGATCTTTGCTTAGCTGATCTCTTCTCTTTGTGCATGTACGTTCCATTAGTCTAGTCTCTCATTGTCAAGTTCATGTTCCGGATCTTTGCTTAGTTGATCTCTTCTCTATGTGCATATACTTTCCAATAGTCTAGTATCTCATTGTCAAGTTCATGTTCTGGATCTCTATTTAATTGGTCTCTTCCCTTTGTGCATGTGCTTCCACTAGTCTAGCCTCTCTTTGTCAAGTTCATGTTCCGGATCTCTACTTGATTGGTCTCTTCTCCTTGTGCATGTGCTTCCACTAGTCTAATCTCTCATTGTCAAGTTCGTGTTCCGGATCTTTGCTTAGTTGATCTCTTCTCTTTGTGCATGTACTTTCAACTAGTATAGTCTCTTATTGTGAAGTTCATGTTCCGGATCTTTGCTTAGTTGATCTCTTTTCTTTGTGCATGTACTTTCCACTAGTCTAGTCTCTCATTGTCAAGTTCATGGTCCGGATCTCTACTTAATTGGTCTCTTCTCTTTGTGCATGTGCTTCCACTAGTCTAGCCTCTCCTTGTCTAGTTCATGTTCCGGATCTTTGCTTAGTTGATCCCTTCTCTATGTGCTTTGTCAAGTTCATGTTTCGGATCTCTACTTGATTGGTCTCTTTTCCTTGTGCATGTGTTTCCACTAGTCTAATCTCTCATTGTCAAGTTCATGTTCCGGATCTCTACTTCATTGGTCTCTTCTCCTTGTGCATGTGCTTCCACTAGTCTAACCTCTCCTTGTCAAATTCATATTCCGGACCTTTGCTTAAGTGGTCTCTTCTCTTTGTTCATGTGTTTCCACGAGTTTAGTCTCTCATTGTCAAGTTCATGGTCCGGACATTTACTTAATTGGTCTCTTCTCTTTATGCATGTGCTTTCCACTAGTCTAGTCTTTCATTGTCAAGTTCATGTTTGATATCATGTTCCGGATCCTTGCTTAGTTGATCCCTTCTCTATGTGCATTATCCAGTTTATGTTCCGGATCTCTACTTAATTGGTCTCTTCTCTTTGTGCATATGCTTCCACTAGTCTAGCCTCTCCTTGTCAAGTTCATGTTCCGGATCTTTGCTTAGTTGATCCTTCCCTTTGTGCATTGTCAAGTTCATGTTCCGGATCTCTACTTGATTGGTCTCTTCTCCTTGTGCATATGCTTCCACTAGCCTAGCCTCTCCTTGTCAAGTTCATGTTGGATGTGATATTCCGGACTTTACTTAGATTAGTCTCTTCCCTTTGTGCATGTGCTTCCACTAGCTTAGCCTCCCATTGTCAAGTTCGTATTGGATGTGATGTTCCGGACTTTACTTGGTTAGTCTCTTCTCTTTGTGCATGTGCCTTCCACTAGTCTAGTCTTTCATTGACAAGTTCATGTTTGATAT